ATCCATTATTTCCTACTGTTAAGGATTTCTCAGAGTGTTTGCAGATCTTCAGTGAGGCTAATTAGCTAATACAAGTCACTGCTTTGACCTCATATGTTTTACTGTTTACTTTTAAATGCAGTCTTTGAAGAAATTATGACTGACCTTAACAATGAGAATTTTAATAAAGAAGTGTTACGCTTCTTTTCGATTCTGGTATTTATTTGTGCAGATGAAATCCATGTGAGAAGAGATATTTATATACAGTAATAACCACTCTCATGAAAAGGTAAATAGCCAAAGGAATGCTCCATTTAATACAGTTACTTGGGCATTTAGGTGTTTGAAATAATGGGGGGTTGTATCATCACTTATCTTTGCTGTAAGTGTTTCTGTAGAGGGAATATTTTATAATATGACACTTTTTCCTTGAAATAATGGAAAATTACAGGGATCAATAGTAATAAACCTTTCAAATCTTTATGAATTACTTTAAGAAGGCATTTAGCTTCTCCTGTCTTATTCCAGGCATGAAGGAGCAGGGAATGAAAATCAGTTTAACATCTGTTACAGACCATAATCTATACTCAGAGAGCTATACGTACACTAAATAACCGTTCCCAACTTCTACTGTATAGGCCTAACACCTTGGTTTACAGACTGCTAACATATTTGAGTTGCCACTAGTGAAGTCACAGACGTTCAGATCAGATGTGTGCTTTATAAACACTCATTGCACATACTCAATATATCACCTATGCCAAAACCTCAGTATCAAAGAGTTTGACAGAAAGTTCTTCTGGATATGTTAAGTTCAGAATAGAGAGGAACCTTCCTTACCTCTTCTGCATGAATACCACAAAGTTTGTTTCCTGACAGGAGCTTGTTTTTGAGGCTTTTGTTCTGAGGGAAAAAAAAAGTTGTTTTATTACTGAGACTTAGTGACATTTTGAGTGAACTTTTGAATATTTTATCAATCTGGTTTTATTTCATACATGAACAACATCTTCAAATGACTGGAAGAGACGTACATAATGAAAGACAGTAGCTGCACCATAGAAAATTCTGAAAGCCTACAGCTTTGTATTAAAACATGCTTTGGCAGAAAGAGGAATGCACACAGATTTCAAACCATACCAGCAACTGCAGGTAACCTAGATTGGATATGCTGAGGTAGAAAGGCAGGAGAAAAAAACAAAAACAACAGAACACTTTAATATTTACCTGACTTCAGTGCTTAGCTCAATATCATTTTTACTAAATCACTGTAGCAATTGAGTCAAAGATGTCCACGCTTAGCCAAGGTGAAGAAATGCATGGGAACTTTTGATTAAACTTCCCAATTTAAAAGGGCAAGTAATCAAAGCCTTTTAAAGGCCAAATAACTGTATGTGAGCACTGTGCACAGTGCTGCAGAAAAATCTTTTCAAGATGACACGTGCATCCACAGCTTTGTGTTGCAAAACAAAAAGCCATTTGGGCATTACTTGCAGTAAGACAATCCAGACTCTGCCTTGCATAAAAACTGATGTGCAAAATGCTGCACATGAAGGGAAGGACAACAAATATTCTCATAAGCCTCATGTTTGAATGAATTTTGTTCTTTAATAAGGATGTGGGAGCTGGGGCTCCAGAGGAACACCTTCTTGCATTAACCAACATTGAAACACAGGACTAGATTCTATGCTAAGAAAGTTAGATAGCAGATGCCAAGTGATCAAAAGTAAATTATAAAAAAAATCCCAATCAGATGAACTACATTCAGCCCAGCTATTTCTCACAAGGGGTAAATACAAAGAGATAGAGTGTAATGTAATCACACATCAGATGTAACTGGACTCACATAAAAAGTCAACATCATTTCTTGGGTTGATGGACAAACAGATGTGCCAAAGGCTCTATCTCACTAGGAAAGTGTGCTTAGTTAATCTAGAAATTCAGATCATCTCTGTTTTGCTAAACTGCATCCATTATTCTCCAATTCCCCTATAATCTGTCAATGGTTCTAAGGGTGAGGTGCAATCTTTGCATTTTTATTCCCTTCTATTCCTTTTGCCAAGTGAAAGGTGCCGTAAGAAATACTTCCGTTAATACTATTAAAGTATTCATAATTAACCTCTATACGCACAGTTTTGCAGAGGCTCTGCATTAACTCAAGACATGATTGGAAGGAAGAGAAGCCATCCAGAGGGACACAGGCTGGAAAAGTGGGCCCATGAAAACCCGATGAGGTTTGGTAAGGTCAAATGCAGGCATTTAAAGGTCACAGTTACTAGGAGCATAAAAATTTGGAGCTTGCCAGAGGGAGTTGACAACTTCTGTTAAATGTTGGAGTTCTTTTTTAGTACTTAGGAAATTACATGTTGCTACTAAGTACAGCTTTGCCTCCTGACTAATATTGGTTTTTTGTTTGTTTGTTTGTTTTACAGCAGCACATGAAGTATACCAATAAGAGCCTGTAAAAATGTAAAGAGAAGCATTTGATTCTCATTGTGAACATTGCCAAATGAGGTGTGTTCTCATGTATATGTCCCATAGATTTGCTAGAAAGGGACTATTCAAAATGAATTCAATCAAAGATTTTTAGGTTAAAAATGCATAGCAAGTCACAGTATAAGATCTCACGCTTAAGTCTTAGTCAAGAATTCAAGATGATAGATCTTATTTTCCTATTCAAATAATAACAAAAAGCTAAGTTTAACTTGACATTTTTAATTTGTTTAAAACATCATATATGTTTTAAATTGCTTTAACAGAAAAGATCTCAGACATTTCAAGCTTAAAACCCAGTACAGTTAAAGAATGAATTAAGTAACCATGTCTTCAATGGACTGTCTTAAAATGATGTACAGTAATGATTTTAATTAGATATGGTCTTTTATATTTACAGAAAGGATACCATGATATTCCAAATGAGAGACGTGGTCAGTTGGCATGGTGAGGATGAGTTGGGGTTGGACTTCATGATCTTACAGGTTTTTTCCAAACAAGTTAAAAGACATAGCCATGTTCTCACAAAAGCAGTGATCCCTACCAATGCAGACTAAATACATCACCTCTCCAGAGAAGGAGAGAAGGAAGAAAAATAGCTCATGCCTAAGAATTGTTAGGAAACTAATGGTTCTTCCTTTCCATTGCCACTGGAAAATTTTACTACCTTGTATCTCAATAAAATTCAGGTCTCTTTACTTCAACAACTTTATCCTACAATACCAATACATAATGGCTAAAAGGAGTGATAGGGTTTTTTGGCGCTATGTTTCTTTTTAATTTCCATCCAGACCATTAGAAGACTTTAGAGACTTAAAAGTATAAACTAAGAACTTAAAAGCTCAATAGAAACACTTACGTACAGGCAGTGTTCACTCCTTCATTTCCTGCCAAATCATATTAAAATCATCAGATAGATGCATCTTGTGCTTTTCACTATATGCCCTCCTCCCTGGCCACACTTCTTTTGATACAGCCCAGGATAAGGTCGGCTGTCTGGGCTGTGAGGGCACACTGCAGGCTCATATCCAGCTTCCCATTCACCAGTATCCCCAGGCCTTGCTCTGCAGGGCTGAGTTCAATCCTTTCATCCCCCAGCTTGCATTGGTAGTGAGGGCTGCCTCAAAGTCCTTCCATTTGGATTTGTTGAACCTCATGAGGTTCACCTGGGCCCACTGCTCAAGCCTGACTGGGTCCTTCTGGATGGCATCCTGTCCCTCTGGTGTGCTAATCGCACCTCACAGCTTGGTGATATCAGCAAACTTGTTGAGAGTGCACTCGACTCCACCATTGATGCCACTGATGAAGATATTAAAGAGTACTAGTCCCAGCACTAGTCCCTGTGGGACACAACTCATCATCAATCTGCATCCAGACATGAAGTCATTGACCACTGCTCTCTGGACTCAATCCTGCAGCCAGTTCTTCATCTGTTGAACAGTCTGCCCATCAAATTCATCTCTCTCTATTTTGGAGAGAAGGATGTTGTGGGGTAGTCTGCCAAAGGCTTTACGAAGTCCAGATAGGTGACATCAGTGGCTCTTCTCTTGTCCACTGATGCAGTGACACCATCATAAAAGGTCATGTTGACCTCTAGCCACCTAGAGGATTGGTTTAATATTCTGATGCTGACATTTTGTAATATATAGCACCTATATTATCTCTGAGATAGCAGCAGGACATCAGCTGTGGATGAACAAACTGTACAACTTTGACATCATTAATTCAAGGCAAGTTTCCTTTGCCTACTAGACTTCTGAAGCACGAGGACAGAACATGTTCAAGCAAAGAATAATCACTTTCCCTCAGAAAATTATTCTACGCAATTCACTTCAGACATTTTATCTGAGGTCTGACAGCAATAGTTTGTTGTATGCAAGATATATTTGGCTCTGCCTCCCTTTGACGAATAGCACATATGAGCTCATTCTAAGCGCCAGCTCATCACTGCAGCCTTTCTCTATTATGGACATTCTATAAAAACCATCAACAAAAGCAACAACAACAAAACCCAAATGAAACCAACACAACAAAATACACTCCTAAACAATAAAAAGCTCTGGACTGTACTCAGTGAGAGTGCCAGAGCCAATTGCCAAGATGAATACTCTTTGCCATTTCCTGTTAAACAAAATTGCTCTCTGTGCCCTTTTGAGGGAAAATCAGATTGCAGCAACTAACCAAAATTAAATATCTGACAGTATTTGATATCAGAATATACTGGAATCCATTTTGGCTTGGATATTAGCTTTATATTTTCAAGATGATGAAAAACTGTTTGATATAGCACAAAACAGGGTGAAAGCTTTAATCCCAGCTAGGTCTACTCAGCCCTTCATTTTTCTAAGACAGATAAACTGAGTTTCCTGTACTCTACTGTCTGAGGGTTTTTAGGAAAAAAAACTTACACTCTGCTTTGCTGCAGCCTTCCCTAATCCAAAGCCGTTACTTCTATCTGAAATAAGTGAAATTTGATGACGTTTTAGACTCACTAAAACACACATCTAAATGTTAATATTCAGACAGAGTTTACGAACATGCATCACCACAAGCAACAAGACCAAAAAAACAAAGAACAATAAAATAACTACTGATTTTAGAAAAACAAAAACAAAAACAAGTTTTTGTATTAGTACCATTTATAAGATTACAAAACAGTGTCAAATAACAGTGCGTGCAGTCTTTTTGGCGAATGTTTTAAATAGCTAAATGAAAAAAAGTTCCCTCACCCTCTTATCACTTCGAGTGAATTCTCCTGTTACAATAATAAAACCAGTGCACAGGACCAACTATTTTTTTCCTCAGTGTATTTTCTCCTTTGCAATTTCAAGAGACCAGGGTCATGTATTTTCCTTATCCCTGAGTAAAGATAATTCAATACGAAAAAATGATACAAAGAGGTACACATTGGACAGATGTAATTTGATGTAATTTTCAATCAGACCTTCCCAGTCATTTCAAATGGACTTTCACAGCTGATGTCCTGCTGCTAGCTCAAATTTCTAATTCTTTCTAAGTTTTAATTAAAAACACAGCAGTGTGTTGAATGCAGAATCCCATTTAACAGGACATGAATCTCAAATGGGGTAACTGCCTTTTCAATGCAGGATTATCTACAGCAGAGCCCTGACTACTCTTTAAACATTCCCTTTGGCAGAGTTGCAGGAGTGCTCCAGAGACATTCGTGGAACCAGTAAAGCAGAGCCCCTCCTTAGGTAGATATCTGCCCTGAAGATCCTCTCTCTCATAAGTTTGACAAGAAGGGTGAAAAGAAGCTAAAACTGCTGTGAGCTACAGGTTAGGAGGAAAAGAGAATTAAAAGTCCACTGACAGCCCTATCGAGATAAAGAAAATGAAAAACTAAATGCATTTCTTACTTCCAAAGAACCAGGCTCTCTCTCACTGCAAGAATG